GCCCCCATTGTGACTGCTTTCAGCCTACCAGTATGAACCCTCTGAATAATTAGGAAGGGAGGAAGTAGCTGTTACGTGCGGTCAAATAATTTTTGCTGCACGAAGACTACAAAAACAGGGCTTTCTTGGCTGAAATCTTTACGAAGCACATTGCCAGGTCTTTCTTACGGGAAGTTGCTGGGTAGGTTTGGACCACTGACCTTTTGCCAAACACTTAAATGTTTGAGCTACTAGGGCTCTTTACATCACATGGTATACTCTAGGAAGTACGCATATTGTAGTGGCCTGGGTGGTGCAAACTGCTTGCAATTGGCTGTTCACCTAAAGGTTGGAGGTTGGAACCCACCCAGTGGTGCCACAAAATAAAGGCTTGGCTCACTGCTTCCATAACAATTCCAGCCAAGAAAACCCTATAGAGTAGCTCCACTCTTAAATACACTGGGTTGTCATGAGTCAGGGCAGCTAACAAGTCTATCGCATTGTAGGTATACAAGGGGCTGAAAGTACAGTCAGTCTTCTGAGGTTTTCCAACAGAGGCATTGGTGGTTCAGTGGTAGAATGCTCTCCCCTTCCACGGGGAGGTTCAATTCCTGGCCAAGCCATTTCCTGCGGCGCTACCACCGTCTGTCACCAGAGACATGCATACTGCTATACAGGGAACGGACTTCAGAAGATCGTCCAGACTAAGACCAACTAGGAAGACAGGCTTGACAATTCACTTCTGAAAATCAGCCAATGAAAGCCTTGGGGATCACTAGTCTCCCCCTCCACCAATCGGGGGACGGCACAGAACTAGTGGTTTCCACCTGCTATGCGTGTGGTTACCTGAGTGGAGGCTGACTGGACAGCAGCGAACAGACAGGTTTTCAGAAGCGTACAGAGGTGAGATGCACAGTATTTGGCTCAGAGAATGCCTAGCCCCTTCTCGTGCTTCCTTCTTCCATCCCCTGACTGTAATGCTGATCTCTGACACCACATCCAGGCCGCTGCCTTAAAGGAACTTCTTGGGGCTTTTCACTTCCAAACAGATCTCTCTAGCCTCAACTCTCTGCTGAGCCACAAAACTCTGTCTCCCATTTCCTACTGCACGCCTGCACACAGATGATCGTAACGGAAACATACTCCTTCTTCCTCTTACACTCCTATCTTGGTTGTGTCAACCCCCACCCCGCCTCCCCAGTTTGAAGTTGATTTTGATGATGATGATAGCAACAGAAAGAAATCCATTGAGCTGATTCCTACTCATGCACAGCTGAGTACCCCATAGGTGCTCTTGGCTAATCCTTAAAGATGGAGATTGCCTGGCCTCTCTTCCATGGTGCCATGGGAGGGTTCCAGCCTTTGAGTAGAGCACAGACTGCCTGTACCATCCAGGGACCTAATGACAATCATTGTTGGGCACACGGTGACATCTTTGCTCTTCTGCATTTCAAGGAGTTCTTGCACAGATTTGCTCAATGCAGCGAGTTTGAGTTCTTGACTGCTGCTTCCATGGGTGTTGACTGTGGGCCCAAAGCAGTGTCACCCATTTTGCCTCTCTGAAACTTACTGAGCAATACTCAGCACCACTGCCCCGTGCTGCCCTTTCTTTCGCCCTACCTACAGGAGCCCAAGGCACGGCAAGGCTAAGTAACTTATCTAGTTCGCGCAGCTAGCAAATGGCAGTGTTGAGGCTGAACCTCAGGCATCATTCCTCTGGAGTCCACGACCTAACTATACTGCCCTGCATCCCTACAGCACCTCAAATGGAGGAACTGGAAGTGCTAATTGGTCATTGCTAAGCCCTGCCCTGCACACCTGCTCAGCATCTTATAAACTGCCCTTTCCTCTACTCCAGGGCACTGATGCACCCTGACACTCCTGAGCGCTCTTGAGGACGACTGCAACCTCTTCTGGATCTCCAGCTTACTGGGACACAAGGAGTGCCCCAGGGTCTCTGCAACGTGAGTGATGCTGCTGCCTGCCGTGCTCCCCACGCCCCAGTCTGGTGGGAGGTGTGCCGATCACTGCAGTTTAGGGCCTCTGCCCAGATACTCTGCTCCAGTCAGCGCCCTTCAGAATTGGGTAATTTTTATCTTTACCAGACACCTGAAGGAATCCCTCTGCAAGTGGAATAGAGACCACCTGTGAGAAGCACAGGTTGCCTGAATTAAGCGCCAGCTTCTCCCCCGACTTCATTTCATGCTCCAAGCTAATAGGATCGTTGGCATGTTTGTGAACAACTCAGTTTCTCCCACGATGCCTTTGCATCTGCCTTCCTTTCATCTAAGATGTGTCTCCCCCTTCCACCTGACAGGCTTTATCTCCTTCAAAGCCAGCTTAAGCTTAGATGTCATCCCTGCTGGGAACTTCCTGGGCTTCCCTCCATCTGGCAGCCTCCTCCCCCACCCTGCATCTATGTCCGGATTCACAGTGAAGGTACTACATCTGCCTGCTATCCAAATGTGACCCCCGGGAGGTCAGAGTGGGAATCTCATCCAAACCACTCCCCCACAGTGATGAAAGGAGCCCTCAGGGCACAACTGGTTAACCCAAAGGTTGGTACTTGGAACCGGCAGCACCAGGGCCTGGCCACTTGCTTTGGTAAAGATTACAGCCAAGAGCACCCTGTGGGACAGCTCTACTCTGTCACATGGGATCACTCAGAGTCTAAGTCACTCAACCTAACAACAAGAACCATGAGTGACAGATGAGGAACAAAGGCCTGGCTATCTACTCAGGAAAGCTGCTAATGAAAAAAACCTCAGGGATCAAAGTGTCTGGCTCACACTGATCAAGGAGCCAATGGAGGGCTCACCCCTGTGTTTCATTTCAGTGAGCCTGCGGTCGCCATGAGTAGGGACCCAATTGGATGGCAGCTAACAACAAGCAAAGCACCTGGTGCATAGTAAGTGCTCAAGAAAAGTCACATACACCGAACTTGGGGGCTGGATAATTGGTGAGGAAGGTAAAGATCTGGGTCAAAATGAGCACTAGAGATCTTCTACAGGACCCTGAATATGTGGTGCACACATTTCAGGGTCACCTTGAGAGAGCACATGGACACAGGCTGCTGTACCCACCCTAATTCCTACACGCTGTATGGAAACCAGTTCTCTTTAAGCACAAAATCGGTACAGCATGAGCGACTGAGACGGCAGCAATGGAGATGGAGATAGCTGTGGGAATGCAAGAGCCAGCTGCCCTCTCCTGGGTGGAGCTGAATTTGAATGAGTTCCACATCACAAGCAGCAGGCTTCAACAGTGCACAAAGGGACTGTTGAAATGCGGAATGCTCTCGGTTCCTGCACATAATTGCCTGATGGTTCAAAGACGCTTGGAGTGCTAAGATGGAGGTACAAAATTAACGTTGGACTCTACTAAATGTTAATATAAACTCTACTTATTTGTAGCCAACTTTGCAGATGGAGAGACGACAGCTCTTGGCAGGCCAGCGCTGCTTTTGTCTGAGTTGTCTGATGTCGCCTAGCTGAGTCCTTCCTGATGCGTGTGAACACGTCGTCATCCTTGCAGCTCAACGCAGGCCTGGTCTGCATGGTCTGCTTCAAAACTGTAGCCCAACAGCAGTGACAGGCACATTTAGTACTCTTCTGGGTCAGGAGGGAGGCTCTACGTCATTATGACCCCAGTAATTTACAATCTTGTAGGGTCAGGGGGCCAGAACCAGCTCAGTCATGGCCAATGAAAGGAAACAGGCACTGACCAGTGTAAAACCTGGGTGATCTGGAATGCTCAGCAGATCAAGAACAATTGTAGATCTTAAGCTCTGGATGTGCCAGTGAACACTGCAGGCATCTAATTCATGAAGTTGAATTATTGCCAGGACTGGAGAGCGACATGTATCCAAAATGATGTGACTGGCTGCCATCCTCAAGCTGGCCACCTCTGATTTCAACGGATTCAAGATTTTGGTTGCTATGCAATGGGCACACTACTCTTGTCTAAAAGAGAAACTCAACTTTACTACCGTTCAACCGGTTCTGGTTAGCATTCTGGTTCACCCACATTTTAGGAATGTGAGTCCTTTCTGGTGTTGCTTCATTGGGTGACAGAGGACGATGTAAGATATGAAAATAATTATAACTTATCAAGGGCTCATGAGGGAGGGCGGGGGGAAAATGAGGAGCTGATACCAAGGATTCAAGTAGAAAGGAAATGTTTTGAAAATGATGATGGTAACACATGTACAAATGTGCTTGACACAATGGATGGATGTATGGATTGTGATGAGATGTAAGAGCCCCCAATAAAAGTATTTAATAGAAAAAAGAAGAATTAGGACAAAGGTGCACATGACCCAAACCATGGTTATTTTCAAAATAACATGAAAAAGGGACTATGAATAGGGAAGACTCAAGAGGAATTGATACATTTGAATTATGGTGTTGGAGAAGAATATTGAATCTACCATGGAGTACAGATCTGTCTTAGAAGACGGGCAGCCAGAATGCTCCTTCGACGTGAGGAAGGTGAGACTTCATCTCATGTTCTTTGGACTCATTATCAGGAGAGACCTGTCCCTGGCACTGGACATCATTCTTGCCCAAGTAGCTCTCACTACATCAAGTCAATGCTGACTCATAGCCCCCTTGGATTTCCAAGACTCTTGTTTACAGCAGTAGAAAGCCATCTTTCTCCTGAGGAGCTGTTTGTGATTTTGAACTGCCAACTGTGTGGATCGGAGTCCAGTGCTGAAGAGTCTTGGTGAGATGGGTTGACACAGTGGCTGTAAACAATGGGCTCAAACATTACAACAATGGTAAGGATGGCATCGGACTGTTTGCTGTGAGTTGGAACCAACTCAATGGCATGTACCATCACCACCATCAACCCAGTCTTTACAAAGGTAAGTGCCAGGACCATAAAAATCATTCTCTTCCATTTCTCTCCCACAGAAACTTGAAACGGCAGCTGCCAAATCGGTCCCGAACCATAGTGACCCAATGCACGACAGAATGAAAAGCTGCCTGGCCCTGCACCACCCTCACAACTGTGATGTTTTGAGCCCATTGTTCCAGCCACTGTGTCGATCCATCTCTTGGAGGGTTCTCCTCTTGTTTTTGTAGGAATCTGAAGAACTCGGTAACATTTTATTCCCTTCATTTTACGGAGGAGGAAACAGGGCTCAGAAAGGGCTTAGCCATTTGCCCAGCTGGAAGAAGCTGGACATAGACCCAGATCTCCCCACTTGCTGATCTGAGCCTTTCTTCCCTCTGCAGCCTACCCATGGAGGCAGTGGCGGGGCGGGGGGGAGGGGGGGTTTCAAATGAAAGACTGTGCTGGCACTGTAGGCAGACAACCAACGAGAGAAAGGGGAGTTGGGGAAGTCAAGCAGCATTAGTAACATGACAGTTAACAAGAGACCTCCTTCACTAGATAAACCTACATGCCGGGCATTGAGCTTGGTATTTAAAATATTCTTATATTTTATGGGCCCTGAAACTGAAGTCCAGGGAGCCTAAGAAACCTGCCCAAGGCTCAAGTAAGTGACAGAACCCCGATTCTGTGCTGGACCCCAGTCCCTCTACGCTGCTTAAAGGGGGGTGGGAGTGATTCCGCCTCTCAGCACCCACATCTGTGTGCATATGGCCAGTGGCGAATAGTGACCTCCACACTCTGAGGTAACAAGGTAACAAGTTCCATAGTTTCCCAAGAGGTTCCCTAGAAAAAGAATTCCGAGCCTGGAAAAGCCTGTGACCTCGCCCTTTTGCCTTGCACACTTACAGGTACTGCAGCAGATTCTCGGCTCGGAAAAGGTGCAGAGAGAGAGCAGTTTCTATCATTTCACCTGCCCTTAATCTATTTCAACCACAGAACTGGTCCACGTGGGCCAGTCAATGTTCTGTGCGCCACCTTGATGAGAAATCAGTGTGAGGCTGAAGGAGGAAGAGAAACGGGCTGCAAGATTTGGAAAGGGTAATGGAAGCACACATTTCGACTTCTTTTCCATAAGAATTGTCCTCTCTTGGCTACTTTGCTTAGTCTGAGAAAATAAAAGTTTTCCTTCTGAAACCAGTGGCAATAAAACCGACATGGAGCTTCCCAAGCCCTCTTGGTACACCCTGCGCGATTTTGCTTCTGTCCCAACCACATTCCATTCTCCAAGTTATGACTTCCCCCCAGGCTTCCCTCTTGGGGACTGCTCCACAGCTGGGCTGACACACAGCTGGAGCGCTGGGGGAGACTACAACTTGCAAAGCACCACTGCGAAGCAAGAGCCATCAGGCAGAGCCTGGCACAGCAAGTTATCTGATGTAACACTCTTTCTTCTCTCTGCCTTACTCTGGAAACATTCCTGTGTGTGTGTGCAGCAGTTGGCAACAAGTCCCTTAGAATCTCCAGATTAACGGTGTTGTATTTTTCTGTTTTTAATTTTTATGTGACATAGGTAATTTTCATAAAAAAAGGAATGTAACGCAAAATCTGTGGAGTATTTAAAAACACACACCCCAACTCATTGCCTTTGAGTGGATGTGGACTCACAACGACCCTGGAGGGCAGGGTAGAACTGCCCCTGGGGGTTTCCAAAACTGTGTAAGTTTTCACAGGAGCAAAATCTCATCAAACACAGCTCCAAACACTTTCAAATAGAAGTTTTGCAGTAAATAAACCCTGTCTCCAGCCAAACCCAGTTCCGTCCAGTGGTTTCAACTCATAGTGACACCATAAGGCAGCATTGCCCCGGAGAGGACACGTTTCTAAAAGCTGTGATCTCTAAGGATGCTGGTGGGGGGAAAGACAACAGAAAAGTGGGTAAAGGGAGCTGTTGGACAGGGCAAGATATGACTAAGTAATTTATAAATTATCAAGGGTTCATGAGGGAGGGGGTAGAAGGGAGAAAGGTAAAAAAATGAGGAGCTGATGCCAGGGGCTTAGGTGAAGAGCAAATGTTTTGAGAATGATGAGGGCAACGAATGTACAAATGTGCTTTACACAGTTGATGTATGTATGGATTGTGATTAAGAGTTGTATAAGCCCCTGATAAAACAATTAATAAAAAAAAAGGATGCTGGGTGGAACTCCAACAGCTGGCCCTGGAGTTAGCGGCCAGGGACTTTAACCAGGACTCCTCCCACACCGCCCCCTCCCCGAAACCCACTTGCCTTCCAATGGATGCGGATTCCTATCGACCCCCGAAGACAGGGTCAAACTGGCCCCGTGGGTTTCGGAGCCTGGCAGGGGTGCTCAAACTTTTTAAACAGGGGGCCGGTTCACCGTCCCTCAGACCCGTTGGAGGGCCGGACTATAGTTTAGAAAAAAAACTATGAGCAAATTCCTATGCAACACTGCACATACCTTATTTTGAAGTAAAAACACAAACGGGGCAAAAACACCCGGCAGTCTGCATAAATGTCCTCGGCGGGCCGCATGTGGCCCGCGGGCCGTAGTTTGAGGCCCTCTGCGTGTAAACCAGGACAGGAGCGGAGCTTTGCCCCGTTCTGCCTTACGTTCTGCCGCTGACCTCACAGAAGCCCGTGACCCCCGCAGCAGGCCGCGACCTCTGACCCCCAGCGGCGGCGAGGCTCGCGCGTGCGCAGTGCGGCCGGCTGGCTCCTTACCCACTCGGAAGATGAGGTCGTCCTCGATGGGGTTCTCTTTTCGCTTGCCGGTGCTGTACATGCTGGCCGGCCTCTTCACCGCCTTCTGCTTGACGTGGCCGCTCCCCGGGGACTTGACGCGGCGCTTCACGCCCTCGGTGGTGGGGGACACGTCGGCCGAGCGGATCACCTTCAGCTTGAAGGGGCTGCCGCGGATGTGCTGGTCGTGGAGCCGCAGCGAGAGGGTGAAGTCCCCTTCCTTCTGCACCGTGTACAGGAACTCGTAGGTGCCGTTCTTGTTGTCGAGGATCTCGCCGTCCGCCACGCTGCCGTCGGGCGTGCTCAGCTCGGCCGTGAGGTACGCGTTCCCGGTCTTGCACAGCTCCCCGTCCTTGTCCTTGGTCGTGATGGTGACGGACATGGGCTGCCCGATGATGGTCTGCCGCAGCCCCTCGCCCGTGGCCACCGTCTCCGAGGCGACGGCGTTGGTGGTGAGGATGGTGCCGAGGTTGTGGATGGACTTCTTGAGCCCTTCGGTCTCCACCAGGAAGTCGAGCTGGTCGTTTTCCCGCGGCTGCAGCGGGAAGTCCTGCTCCGCGAGCTCGCTGAGCTTCTCGCTCATCTGCTTGCGCACCAGCAGCACCTCCGTCTCGGTGCCATGGTTGAGCGCCTGCGCGGTGAAGCTGCTGCAGCTCTTGATGCTCTCCTGGCCCTGGAGCAGGGTGTCCAGCTGCGACTGAAGGACCTGCCGGAAAAACCGGATGGCGAGTGAGGGCGGCCGGGTGTGGTGGCCAGGCTCCTGGGGCGCGATCAGCCTATTAGAACCTCAGCAGAGAAGGTTCTAGAACTGCCCTCCGGGGTGGGGCTGAGCCACTGGTATTGACTTTCACCCAGTGAACCCAGCTCTACTGCAAAACCTTACAATGCCGTCCCGTGTTTTCCTTGTCCCGCCCACCGCACCCGGGCTCTCCTACTCACATACTTCTTGGGTCACGTGTTTTGGATAAGGGCAAGTGGAAACATCACTGCCAAGAGTGTGGGAAACCCATGGATAAGCTTGACATCTGAAACAGTCGTTCACCAGGATCTTTATGCTCAGACCTCCTCTAAAGCCTACCAGCTAAGGAACAGAAACCCACCGATCCAAACTCCCCACTTCTGACCCCCAGAAACTTCCCGTGCCCCTGGTTTGGGGATTACATGGGCAGAGTTAAACAAAACTGCAGTCAGGGTGCCCTTTGAAGCTGACTAACTGGTTGGTGTGGGTGTGAGAGAGCAATTAAGACGTGATTAGACATTATAATTAAGGGAGGAAAAACAACCCAGTTTAACCCTAAATCCCGAGAGCATTACTCTATATTCAACCTCATCTATTATCAAAGCCCACAATCACTCGTTATACATTGGTTCTTAAGGTCACAGCAGCACAAAGCTTGGCTGAGTGCAGGAAAGAACAGAAAAGGAAAAGAAGAAGGAAAGCCACAATTAGTCATACAACTGTGACTGAGAAACCTGAGAAACATACACCTGAGAAACCATCTGAGTCCCCTTTTCTTAAAAACCAAAAACACCGCAACGCCATCAAGTTGAGGCTGGCACACAGCCACTTTATAGGACAGAGTAAAACTGCCCCTGTGGGTTTCTGAGTTTCTAAGTCTTTATAAGAATAGGAACACTCTTCTCTCACCCACTGAGTGGATGGTGGTTTTGAACTGCTGACTTTGTAGGTAGCAACCCACTATGTTATCACTATGGCAACAAGGCTCCTTAGAACCCAGTAAACCAGGCCCTTGAAGGACCATGGATATCCCCTATCTCTTACAGAAAACCTTGAACGACCGGAGCCTTACTTTGTGTTTGAGGCCGTAGTTGACCTCCAGTTCCATCAGCAGCACACTCTTGCGCACGTTTAAGGTCTTCTGCAGCTCGTCAAAAGTGGAATGAATGTCATCCACAATGCTGGCCTTTTGGTCGGTTAGCTGATGAATGATTTCCGAGATGAACTGAAGAGCTGAATCAATTTCTGGGAGTCTAGGGGAGAGCGGCTACAGGTCATTATTTATTTATTTAAAGATCATTTTATTGGGGGCTCTTACAGCTCTTATAACATTCCATACATCAATTGTATCAAGCATATCTGTACATATGTTGCCATCATCATTTCCTAAACATTTACTTTCTCTTTGAGCTCTTGGTATCAGTTCCTCTTTTTTCCCTCCCTCCCTCCCTCCCTCATGACCCCTTGATAAATTATAAATTATTATTATTTCATATCTTCCACCAGCTGCTGTCTCCCTTCACCCGCGTTTCAGTTGACCGTCCCTAGGGTGGGAGTGGGGGAACAGAGTGGTGTTATGGGTTGATCACTGCAACCGGTTCCCCCTTCCTCTCCTACTCTCCCCACCTTCCCCAAACCCTCCTGGTATCCGCTACTCCCATTTCTGTTACTGAGAGGTTCCTTTGACCTGGATTCCGTGTGTCCTGAGCTCTTCTCTGTACCAGTATACATGCTCCGGTCTAGCCAGAACTGAAAGGCAGGACTGGGATCATGATAGTGGGGGATGAGGAAGCCTCAAAGAGCCAGACGAATATTGTGTGTTTCATTGATGCTGTACTGTGCCCTGGTTGACTCATCCCTTCCTTGTGACTCTTCTGTGAAGGTATATCCTATTGTCTACAGATGGGTTTTGGGTCTTTGTTCTGACCCCCCTCGTTCTCAACAATATGTTGGGTTTTTTTTTCATTTGGCATCTTCTGATGCCTGATAGCTGATCCCATCAACACCTCATGATGGCACAGGCTGGTGTGCTTCTTCCATGTGGGCTTATTGCTTCTCTGCTAGATGGCTGCTTGTTTAACTTAAAGCCTTTGAGACCCCAGATGCTATATCTTTTGATAGCTGGGCCCCATCAGCGTTCTTCACCACATTTGCTTATGTACCCATATCGTGTTGGGAGGGTGAGCATCACAGAATACTAGGTTGTTAGAACAAGGTGTTCTTGCATTGAGGGGTGGCTTGAGCAGAGGCCCCAAATCCATCCACTCCCTCAATGTCTTGCCATATAAATATATAGACATAGGCTAATACCTCTATTTTTATGAATTATATATTTACATAAGTACACACCTATGTTTATATCTCTATCCATAGCTTTGCTTCCTAGATTGTTCCTGTTTCCTTTGACCTTCCTCCTGCCCCACCATCACACTCTCCCTTCTTTGGCCTCTTAGTAATTCTCTCAGCTAGATTGCTGTTGCTCCCAAACCCCCAGGATTCCTATGTCATCTCCTTGTTGATTTTAATTCCCTAGTTGTTCCCCTGTCTATGGCATTGTTTGCTCACTGCTTTAAAGGTCATTATTTAACATCCACTCTGATATATTCAAAGATCTGTCTAAACAGGAAGCTTTGTTTAACATATATATACATCTTTGTTATTTCATCATCAAAAATTACTCAAGAACAGAATGAACGAGACATAATGATTGCCTTTGAAAGGAGAAACTGAGAGCCCACATCTATTCCTGTCGACCTTAAATTTATTTTCAAAAACTTGGTACAAAGCCATGGCTTTTCATCAGTGCCCTCAAAATTGGCACGCTGCTGTTTTGGATCATCAGCTGAGGGGGCTTCCTGTGTTCTGTAGGATGTGTAACTGCATCCTAGTCTCGACCACATATCAGTGGCATGAGTGCTCACGAGTTTGAGCACATACCCCACAGTGGTGACAAACAAAACTGTCTCCAGACATGGCCAAATCTCCCAAGGTTGAAAGCAATTGTTCTAATGATATAGCTGTAAGTTTTCCCCCAGCCACATGAAAAAAAAACGATATCCAAACCGAGAGCCTCCTGGGAACCTCTTTCAAGTTTCAAAGGTTTTGACAACCCTTCTCTCACCAGGACTACCAGTGATGCTATTCAGTACCCTATTTCCTCTTTGATCTTTCTCAAGCACACCACAGTGAAGCTGTTCCCTTATTTCCATGTTAAAGAAAGAGCTTGGAAGCAGGAAGCCAGGGATGGTGGTGGGGTGGGATGTGTGGATGTGTGTGTGTGTGAGTATGTGAGAATGGAGCGCTCATTGGCTCACGGGGAACCAGTTACAGCCCAAGCAGTGTGCCTGTCAGTGTATCAGAATAGCAGCTAAGGAAGGCTCCGCAGAGATCCTGGCTTGGGCAGGAATTTCAGTGAGTTCTTGAGAGTATTTTCCTCAAGTGATGTACATGCCCCCCTCTCATAACATGAGGTGGGGCACCCTTCATCACTCACTAGTTTATGATTACCCATGACCAAAGCAGAACTGGGTGAATAGCACAGAGACCGGTCCCTTGAAAGGTAACGGGAACCTACTAACCCACTGGGGCAACAGGAGGCTAAGCCTCCAGTTCCAGGGCCAGGTGGGAGCCCTAGGGTGGCCAGCCCACCTCTTGTTGACGGCGTCCAGCTGGACCTGCAGCGAGGCTTTGTGCTGCTCCACCACATCCTTGAGTGGGACTGTGGGGTGTTCGGCGTGCTCTCCCTCGGTGCACTCACGACACATTGCGGTCTCGCAAGACTGGCAGTAAAATTCCATCACCTACGAGAAACGAGAAAGCACACAGGTTCGGGGCCGTTGACTGAGAGCTTGCTATGACCTAGGCATTTTACTCGCATCACCTCATTCATGCTCACGGCCCCGTAGGCTGTTGGCATTCCCATATCCGGTTCCACAGGAGTGAATGACGCATACAGTGTGAAGAGAAAACAAAAGCGAAACAAACTCACTGCCATGGAATCCGTTCTGACTCATGGCGACCCTACAGGACAGGGGAGAACCGTCCCTTTGATTTATACACCATCGCAACCACGGTTGAGGTATCCAGGGACTTAAATTACGTTCCTTTTCCATGTGCTTTGAGGTTTGGGAACCAAAAGATGCCCAAAGGGGCAAGATCGGAGCTGTAAGCTAGATGGGATAAGATTTCCTAATAACATTCTCATAGGATAGCCTTTGCCACCCTCGAAGAATGAGCAGGTTCAGCATCGTGATGGGAAAAAAATTCCTCAGTCCAACTCTCCTGGCCTTTTCCCTCACCAGTGCAACTTTCAATTTTCTGAACACCCCACAGCACACCCCATGACTGCCCCGTGCACTTCCAGAAAGTCTACCAAGATGACGCCCGTGGGGTCCCTTAACATAGTGATCACCTTCGGAGCTGAACCCCCTGCCTTGAATTGAACTGGCCCTGCAGATCCCTTCAGAAGCCACAAGTGTATTTCCAAGAGAACTTGAATGCAGGCACCCACTGATCACAGAGATGTATTTAAAAATGTTTTCTTTGAAATAAGCTCATATATGTATGAAACGGACCCCTCGTGGCAATACTTTTTGACTCTCCCTCACCTATCTGATAATGGTTTCATATGCTGAATCCTGTAATCCAACAATAACAAAATGTCCAACAACCCTATTTTAAATAGGCAAAGGACTTGGAGACAGTTCTCCAAAGGAGATATGCAAATGACCAGTAATCACAGGAAATAAACCATGGATTAGCAATGCATGAGTTTTCCCTCAAAGTCCTACCATTGAGTCAATTCCAACTCATAACAACCCTGTAAGACGGGGTAGAACTGCATCTTTGGGTGTCCGAGAATTAAAATCTTTATGGCAATGTATAGCCTCATCTTTCTCTCTGGGAGTAGCTTCTGAGTTCAAACCAGTGTGAAACCACAACAAGATACCACTTCACACTCACTACCCAACAAACCCCCGGCCATCCAGTGAATGCTGACTCATGGTAGTTGTATGTAGGGTTTCTCTGAGGCTTTACATGTTTACAGGAACAGATAGCCTCTTTCCGAAAGGCCAGTGGGTTGAATCTCCAACCTTGGAGTTAGCAGCCAGCCCAACCAGTGTTCAGATGGTTATAATTAAAAATAAAAAACGAAAATAACAACTACGAGCACCATCACAAACAGACCCGAAGTTGGTGAAGGCTAGTGAGGAAGGTGAAATACGTCTCGGGGAAGATGTGGACACACTGGAGGAGCTGCAAATGGTAGGGCTCTGTGGAACACAGGTGGCCCCTCAAAGAGTTCAACAGAATCATCACGTTGGTAGGTGCCATTGCTTCTGCTCGGGCTCATAGAGGCTCTGGGACAACAGATCAAACCACCGACCATCCACTTCACCACGGGTGATGTCCTCCTCTAGTGGCCGGACCCTCCTGATCACATGCCCAAGGTCTGTGAGATGAAGTCTCACCATCCCTGCTTTGAAGGGGCGGTGTTTGTTCTTCTGGCAGTCTCTGGCAATGGCTATGAGTCTTCCCCATAACCACAACTCAAATGCCTGTTTTCCCCTGGTCTTCCTTACCCACGGTCCGGTTTGTGCGTGCATTTGAGGCAACTGAAGACCTCACGACGGCTATCTTTGTTCTTTAGTGCTTGAAAGATACAGCTTTCCACTTCTAGGAATATTCTCGAGACAACAGAAAGCATGTCCACGCAGAAACGTGTACACGAGCCCTCACTGTAGTCTGATGTGTATTCGCCCCAAAGTGGAACTATCCCAAATGTCTGCCAGCAAGTGAATAGATCCGCAGACTAGGCTTGTCCACACACCAAAATGTTATTCAATCCAATCCTTGGATGAACTTTGAAAACATTACACTGATTGAAAGAAGCCAGAGACACAAGACTCAGACCGCGTAGTCCCGTTTATAGTCAATGTCCAGAACAGGTCAATCCAGAGAGAGAAAGCAGATTAGTGGGTGTCAGATGCTAGAGTGGTTGGAATGAATGAATTTGGGGCGGGGGTGGTGGTGGAATGAATGAATTTGGGGCGGGGGTGGTGGTGGAAGTGTGATACAAACCTTCCGGAAGTAGGTCGTGGTGAGGGTTGCACACCATCGTGGCAGTGCTGACAGCAGTGCACCTGGGTCACTCTCCATGGGTTAATGATCCTAAGTGTGTCTTGGGAAGCAAAGGCCTTGCAGTCATTAAAAAGTGTCAAAAAAAACTGAGTCATCCTCGAATGCTTGTGCTTGGTTGCTGACAGCCTTGGGTCCAGGGAGAGCTAATTGTGTGAGCTGTAGGGCTCAGCCGACTCATCCGTCTTGAGTCAAATGATGCCGGTGCTCCCTGGGGAGGGTGGGCCAGAGGCCAAGAGATGCTGACTGGTGTTGACAGGTAGGCACCATTTATGTTCATCATAAGAGGCAAGACCTTATGCGTTACTATGGGCTGAGGATGGTCAGTCCACCCTGAGGCTTTTGCAAAGGCACTGACGATTATGACGGGGAAGGTGGCACCTCTCTGGGACAGCACATGCTTCATGGGAGCCTTTCTTTTGTCCCAGGTGCCTAAGCAAGCACGAACAGGGTGGGAGGTCATTTGCGTTCCTTGGACTACAGAGCTCATGCGCTGCTATCTGCTCTCAGGGCAAAGAACCTCTCAGTTCACTGACCAGGATTCCCATTTCTCTTGAGCTTTTGGAACACGCAGCCCTGGCAGTTTAATTACAAGACAGACGATGTCACAGCCCTTCAAAGCAGATGACAGGGTTTCATCCACATGTGCTACTCGGCACCAGGCAGTCAGCAACACAGCCTCCTGTTTTATGGCTAATTAGCTGGTTTTATTAACCTTCAGACGCTTGGATTGTTTTTAAAGATGTACCCATAGCAATTAACTGCAGCTATTTATCTCTGCTACTGCATGCATTTGGCTTGAATATGCAATGAGAATTTGTGTTTCAAAGCCTTAGCAGCTAACTCCTACAATCTATGAGGAAACAATAAAATGATACAAGTCCCACACTGCTAATTTTCCACAGCTTCTCACTGGCTTATAAATTTATGATTCCAACAGCTCATGATGATCTAACATAAGAATGAAAGTGCTAAAAACATACTCTGAAATGTTCCATCTCCCTCAAATCGGTCCAAACTCTGTAGATAGATTTAAAACTGTACTGTGATTTGATGAGATGTGTTTGGTAGAAGGATGGGGGTGGGGAGAGGTAATTTTTTTCTTTTAACTGAAGGATCCTTTGGCTTTACTAGAACAGTGTGTGTTTTAAAATCAAGAAAAGCATGTGTTAGGATTATATCCTCTCACCGTATTTATTCAATCTGTATGCTGAACAAATAATCAAGAGAAGCTGGATTATGTGAAAAAGTCGTCAAGTTTAGAAGAAGACTTATTAACTCCATCTGTAATATGAAGGTGATACAAGTGCTGGCTGAAAGTGAGGAGGACTAGAAGCACTTGCTGATCAAGGTCAAGGATTGCAGCCCTCAGTATGTGTTATAACTCAATGTAAAAGAAGCCCCAAGGTAGAAAGGGGGAGCCAATTACAAGGATCTACATATAACCTCCTCCCTGGGGCTGGAAAACAGAAAAGTGGGTAAAGGGAGACATGTCGGACAGTGTAAGATATGACAAAATAATAATTTATAAATTATCAAGGGTTCATGAGGGAGGGGGAAAATGAGGAGCTGATGCCAAGAGTTTAAGTGGAGAGCAAATGTTTTGAGAATGATGAGGGCAACGAATGTACAAATATGCTTCACACAATTGACGTATGTATGGATTGTGATAAGAGTTGTATGAGCCCCCAGTAAAATGATTTTAAAAAAGAAGAAACCCCAAATCCTCATAACTGGACAATAAATAAAATCAAGATAAATGGAGAAAAGATTGGAGCTGTCAAACATTTTGTCTTTCTTGGATCCACAATCAATGCTCACGGAAGTCAAGAGATCATACAACACTTTGCATTGGGTCAATCGGCTGCACAAGACCTCTTCATAATACCATCAGGTCAGTCCCAACTCAGTGATCCTGTGTGCAACACAACAAGGCACCGCCCAGTCCAACACCAGCTTCCCGGCTGGTTGTATATTTGGGCCCATTGCTGCAGCCACTGTGTCAAGATTCTCATTGAGAATCCCCTCTTTCTTGCTAGCCCTCTATTTCCAGACTTATGAAGTCCTTTTCCAGGGACTGGACTCTCCTGATAATATGTTCACATTTTCAGCAATACACCTTCTCACTTATCCACTATTTCATTGTCAGACATCTCATGTTTATAATAGTAAAAAATCAGCCATCTGACTAGTTTGCTCCTTAATGCCATGTATATCTGGTAGTAACACACACCAAGGTGCCAGATGAGTGTGACAGTAAGGCAGAAAAACCATTTCTGAACACACAACAACCAAAGATTAGTTCAAAATCAAACGCGTAATGAATCCAAGATGTCCTGGCAGAACTTGCCCGTGCTGCGAACCTCAGGTGAACAGCAGTCTAGAGTAGAAGAAGCATAAGCAGCCCTGCTCAGGGCATCGTTCTCGGCCGCATGAGTTGCCTTCAGTTAGCATCAACTCAAGGGCCACTAGTAACATGCATCCAGGACTTTCTTAAAAACAGCAATCTGTCGTCAATTCTGATACACAGGAGCTGCCATCGGCTTTCCCCCGTGGAGCAGCTGGTGGGCCCGAGCAGCCAGCTTAGCCTCCGTAAGACCAGGGCTCTGGCTGGGCACTTACTGTGCGCCTTCCAGGAATGCTGCATTCTGTTCTCCTATTGTCACCTTATTTTGACAGGTGAAGAAATGAGAGTTTTTATAAAACCTGTCCCAGCTAACATACTGAGTTGAAGAGCAGGAATCTGACCCAGGAGTCCGACTCCTGAGCTAGCTCCCCCTCAGTCACTTCACTTGGCTACCTCTTCAGGTTGCACTCAGTTAAGGCCTGCTCCCCAAAAGAGCCAGGTTAAGGGCCTAAATCCTGACAGCTAGGAATGGGGCCTGTTTGGAAATAGGGGCCTGAAATTAACATGTGGTCCTACTGGAGTAAGATGTTTATAACCAAATCTGAGTGGAATCATATAAAAGCAGACGGACAGAGGAAACGCGGGCATGGCTGAGTGAATTCTACTGCAAATTGAGGAACATCGGGTTAGCAGAGGCTGAGAGAGACGGGGCGGCGGGGTGGTGGTGGTGGTGGTGTGTGTGTGATAGAGATAGCGAGCGAGCAGGGGTGAGGAACCTTTTGTGTCTGCTGAGGGTGATTTAGATATTTATAATAACATTCACAGCTACTAGGTTTGGTCAAACATGTCATTAACTCGCCCCTCATGTGATAACTGGAACTGCTTCTCTTTGGTGAGCTCTGTGACGTTAGTTGGTGCTAGTGATTTTGTGGTCCTTACATAGCATGAGGGCTGGACGGTTCCCTGCCCTGCCCTAGAGTCTTTGGAGAGAGCCTGGCCCTGCTGTAGACTGCTAGCCTCTAGACCTCTGAGACAACACATCTCTGGGGCTAAAAGCCATCCATTCTGTGTACTTGCTAAGGCAGCCCTAGGAAACTAGCAAAAGCAAAGCCCATGGTCCTCAAGTTAGAATTCTAACTCCCAGCAACCCTAGAGGACGGGGGAGGAATTGCCACAAGTTAGAATTCTAACTCCCAGCAACCCTAGAGGACGGGGG